TGTGTGCCCCAGCTGAGTGTCAGAGGGAACAACAGGAAAGAGCTCATGGGGCTTCTGAAGTATATCACGAGGCTTGCAGATGAAGCCTCATCACTGGTATGTTAGGGCTCAAGGTGACCCTGGAGCCCCTCTCTGGATTCAACCCAAGTCCTCAAGCCTATGGCAAGGTTGGCTGTGGGAGGGAAGCCATGGACAGACTGGGCTGGGTGGCAAGATTTGCCACCCTAGGGGCCTGTGTTCCTATTCTGGTAACCTAGGTAAGCATCTTGTCTGGCTCACTTAGAAGGTGGATGACTTCTTTGAGCATGAGAGGACCTTCCTGTTGGAATACCATACCTGCACCTGAGATGCCTATCTCTGGGCAGACTGTTTCATGCCTATCCACAGTGGACACAGGGTCAGGGGGCCCTGGACACCTGCCTTCTCCTAGTGGTTTCACTCCTTGGGGGAGAGGCATCTGTCCATCATGATGAATACCAAGGATGAGGCTTGATGTTCTGACGTAGAGGCTCTGATGGCGGGTTGTTCCCCAACAGGCCCAGCAGATTATTATATCCTTTTCAGCTGCACTGTGCAGCCTGGGAACACAAGAAGTCAATCAACTAAAGATTTGAGGAATCGTAACCTCTCTTGCCCTGTCTATGCCTGTAAACTGCGTGCCCATTGAAAGGTCACTCTGTAGAAGGCTGCTGTTAGCTCTAGGTAGGAGGTACACAAGTTCYCACAGAGGATTAGTTGGAAGAGAAAGGGGAGACTCCCAAGGAGGGGCTGAGGGCAGGGAGGCTTTGAACTGCACCAGACCCCTGTCCTAAGTCCTTCCCATCACCTAGAAGCTTGCCCAAATTGGCAGAGCTCTTTGAACAACTGAGGGCGAATACTGCCTTGTTATGCTCAAAGGCTTTCACAACGAGCCTCTGTCAGGAAGAAGAGTCCTGGGAGAGGGCAAAGCTGCAGGGCCAATTTGAAACATTAGTGATAGGTGGGCCTGGTGGCACTCTGGACTCCCACTAGACTAGTGTAATGAGATGTGGAATGAAAGAAAGGATCCTCAAGGGTGTGTATGAGATGAGGGAAGGGTAGGAAGTYGGCTTGGTGTGGCACAAGGATGTGCCACGTGCCTCTGGCAGGCTACCATGAGCCACTAACATCCTGCCCAGATACACTTCCTGAACTCGTCTCCAAGGAAGTCACTGGAGTATGTCAACCTTTCTTCTTTTGGACTTCATCTCTTCCCCACCTGAGGCCTGCACAGGGGCCCTCCCCATTTCAGAACCTACCCAAGATACAAAGCCAAAGCCTCTGAACTTTACTTTTTTCTTTTAATACTTTTTTTAGTTGTAGATGGACACAATACCTTTATTTTGATTATTTTTATGTGGTGCTGGGATTGAACCCAGGGCCTCATGCATGCTGGGCAAGGGCTGTACCACTGAGCTACAACCCCAGACCCTTAAACTTAACTTTCAAGCCTTTTGTGATCAGGCCACTGCTGCCTTTCTCAGCTTTGTCCAACATGCCCGCCCCTCCAACCTATGACGGTCCTCTGACACATACCAAGCTTACACATCTGCAGAGCCTTTGCCTCTGTCTGGCTAACTCCATTGCAAAGGCCCAGACCAGAGACCACTTCCACTCTGAAGTCTTCCTTGGCTGGCTCCCTTGAGCATCAGGGCTTTCTGACCTGTAGTGGTTACCAAGTGAGTCTCTGCTGGATATTTTGAGGAAGAGGGGGACTCCCACACCTTAGCTGCCCTTTTGGAGAACTTGCTTCCCAGTCCCCACCAACCTGATGCACAAGTTAGAGGGCCAGGTGGCCTGTCAGACATGCTAAGATATTACATACTCATGGACAGTCTAGGTCAGGCGCAGCCCCAGGGCACCCTCAGAGCTGGAAGTCAATGTGGGGAGGGTGGGCAGGCAAAGGCTGTGAGCAGTGATTACCCTGTGACTGGTGGCTGTAGGACCTACTGTACCAGCAGCTACCGGCAACCATGAGAATGCCAGTAAGGATTTGGATAAAGCATGCACCAGGAACTGGGAGATGGCCAGCTGAGAGCCACCAGCAGCTGTGTTGCCAGTGATTTGATTGCCTGACTCTGCCAAGCAGGGTGATCCCCACAGTCCACAGTCCCTAAACTGCTACCCAGCTATACTGCCTATTCCCAGTCCTCCTCGGCCTTGCAAGAGCCTGTGGACTGCAGATCCTTCTGGGTCTCCTCTTTCCACAAAAAAGTTGGTAGAGCTGGAACTCAACATGTGAAGGTGAGAGCCCCCAGCTTCTCCCAAGTGTGTGCCTGTGTTGGGCAGGGGCCAGGACCCATCCCTGTAGAAAGGGCACAAAAGCTGAGGTGTGAAAAGGAAAGCTCCCAGCCTAAGGAAGGAGTAGGGAAATTAAAGGATCTCTCCTTTGCAGGTCAGCACCCTACTCCTCCAGAAAACCCTTGTTCTGGAGACTCAGCAGCCAGACCCTGCCCTGGGACCTTAAATAATAAGGGCCTCAATTCCTCCTTCCCTAAAAATGGTCACAAAGCCATAGCCTCATCCTGAATCCAACTTTCCCATCATTGGAGTTCATTAGACACTGTTGCCCCACCTTCATTCTTAATAAAGAGCCTGACTTTGCAACAAGGGGACCTACATGTCTTTGCTTCTCACAGCTCAATGCACACCTTAGGACAGGGCAGGATGGTATCAGGCTCTTCAAAGGAACCTGTAAGACCCAGAACAGCCAAGGTTTGCCTCACAAATCCTAGGAAAGACCATACTTCAGACTAATCATATTTTCTTGACCAAGAAAATGGAACATCTCCAGCCTCCCTCCCAGAACTTGCAAAGTTAAGGCATTAACTCCAGAATTTTCCTTCTCACTCCAGCCAATTAGGGTATTACTATTATAATTATTATTTTTGGTCCTGGGGATTTGACAGTTCTATGCCACTGAGCTACATCCTCCAGCCCCTTTTGGGGTCTCCCAAAGTTGTCAAGATTATAGATACATGCCACTGTCCCCAGCTCGATTGGGGTAGTTTTAAACTTCATATTACCTCAACTCACTCTGCCCTGGGCCAGGCTTCTTAGCTATTTGTGCCAGCTAGGCAGTGAAAGCCCGAAGTGTAGGCTGGAAAGAGCCCACAGCAATGCTGGCAAGAGGCTAAGGACCTTGGTTATATACAGAGAGGTGGGGCTACAGACACCCGAGTCTTAAGTCCTGGGCTCCACCTGGCTGGCCCCACCCTGCATGGACTCCAGCCAAATCTAGAGAAGGCCAAAGGCTAACTTAGCTTTCTGACTCAGAGCAGCCACTCAGCACTCATAAATTATGTTAATCAGCCATCCTAAGGATGAGGAGAGGAAAGATAACCCAAGAGAACCTTGAGGGTGGACAAAGTAGTTCAACAGAGCACTTGTAACCTGCACTGCAACGCACACCAGACCAGGGACACCCCACCTCAATAAGGCTCCAGGGGCAACTAATTCCGGTGTGAAGCTATTTCTGTTAGTGTCCCTGCATTAATAGCAGACATACCATGTGCTCTGCCACCCACCTGGTAACAATTGCAACATTAAGAGCACCAACTATTAGAAGGGAGCCTCAGAAAGTCATCAGGAAGACAAGGGGGTGGGGTGCAGAGGAGAGAGGCTGTTCCTTTCAGCACACCCCACTGCCAAGCCTCAACTAAAACAAACACCACATTAACAAGCCTTTTTATTGTTGTCTTTTTTTGTTTGTTTTTTGTTTTTTAATTGAAGGTCGCTTACTGGTCCTGCTTCCATGAGACCAAGAGAAAAGGGAGGGAACCAGCCGGCACAGG